TGTGCTAACATAGATAGTGATAATGGATTAATGTAAGTTACAAGGACTAATAAGGAGCCTGACCTGATGGGCCAATCAGTTTATAACCTTATGGAGTCCTGTGTGTGATTTTCTTTGGGCTTGCCGGCTGTGGTGTACTGGGCAGGACAGAAACCCCAACAAGCCGGCCCTCATGTTACATATGGCGCCCAGACGTGGATAACTGAATCCACAGAAAGCTTGAAAAAGCTTGGGAAGGAATAGAATAAAGCATGTTCTTGGTAGCAGCAATTTCTCGGGTCTGTTCTGCTTGCTAGAGGCAAGCAAATGCTCTCATCTAAGAGAGGCTTCCTGACTCAGTGTTAGCTGCAAAACTTTGTAGCTCATTAAGAGGTCCTGCCACGAAACACTTAAACGGTGTTGGTGAAAAGCTGAATGCATGCTTTTCGGATTTTCAGCTGTAGCAGGAAAAAAGCTGTGCCGTTTTAAAATGCCAGCTGTCCTGCCAGAGCAAATCTCTGACTCTTTGAGGCAGGCAGTCTGACTGAGTGTGGTCTGTGAGCACAATGCTCCAGCTTGCTTGCTGGCAGGGACCTTGAAACGCCATAGAGTTGTGGCAGTAAAAATGGCTCCAGTGGTACCTCTACCATGAGTCTGGAAAGCTACGGAATGGACTAGATCAAGGCGTAAAAGCCACAGTTTTAGTCCTCTCCTTAAAGACTCATGTAGTCAAAAAAGAGAGAGAGATACAGTAAAGAGAGATTCAAAGACAAAGAAAACCTCTAAATGGTTTACAGTGTGTTAAAAATATATGCAGGCTAAAAGTTAAAGTTCTTAAAGTAAAGAAAGGGAGAAATAGGGTGTGGTAGTACACACCTTTAATCCCAATGCCTGGGAGGCAGAGGCATATTGACCTCTGTGACTTCAAGGGACAGAGGTAGAGATTGACCTCTGTGACTTCAAGGTGTGGTAGCACACGCCTTTAATCCCAATGCCTGGGAGACAGAGACAGACAGATCTCTGTGAGTTCAAGGTGTGGTAGCATACACCTTTGAGCCCAGCACAGGAGAGGCAGAGACAGAGGAATCTGTGAGTTCAAGGACAGCCTGGTCTACAGAGTTATTCCAGGACAAAGATATATACGGAGAACCTGTCTCAAAAAGCCAAAAGTTAAAAGTAAAAATAAAAGAAATAGAGGTTGAAATAAAGCCGCATAAAGATGGAAAATACACAGAGAATCTTGATACTGTGTGTTATTATGCTCTCTTTGAATTGTTTAAATGCTGAGGAAGGAGCAACAGCCGCCAAAAGACTTTTGTTTATAAATGATGCTGAACTAACTCAAGATAGGTATTTTGAAAATACCTTGGCTTCAAAACTGAAGTCAAAAGGTATGTTACTTTGGAGAAGAGATTTTGCTTTTGTTTCCACAGAAAATGAGAGGCTCTGGATTTATTCAGAGTTAAGAAAAATCATCTTTGACCAAGGGAGACCACCTGAGTAATCTCCAGTAGGAACAGATGGCCTGGATGTCTGCATTCTACATCCAGAACAGATTCAAGACTGCTGCCTGAGATGATCGAGACTCACAGGATACTCCAGACAGGACTTGATTATAACTCTAAATTTTCTTTAGGTCCCCATAAGATTATCAGCACCCCCAACCAGCAGGAAGTAGCCTGAAATACTACGCCCACATTCCCAACAAATGGACTATGGGTATTTTCCTTTGTTGAAAAAAAAAAGAGGGAAATGGTGTGGGAGAATTGTCTGTATTCTGTCAATCATATTTTAATAAAACGCTGACTGGCCAGGCAGGCAGTATAGGTGGGAAAGCCAGACAGGAAGTAGGAGTGGAGTAAAGAGACTGGGAGTATTCTGGAAGCAGAAGCTCCCTCCGCCACTCCTGCGCAGACCACCGAAGAGGCAGCATGTAACTTGCCCAGCTGAGAAAGGTACGGAGCCATGTGCTAACATAGATAATGATAATGGATTAATGTAAGTTACAAGGACTAATAAGGAGCCTGACCTGATGGGCCAATCAGTTTATAACTTTATGGAGTCCTGTGTGTGATTTTCTTTGGGCTTGCTGGCTGTGGAGTACTGGGCAGGACAGAAACCCCAACAAGCCGGCCCTCATTTTACAGTGTGTGCACACACACACAAGTGCATGGAGGTCAGAGGATAACTTATGGAGGTTGGTTCTGTCCTACCATGTGGCCTCTGGGGAGCAAACCAAGGTCATCAGGCTTGGCAGCAAGTCCACTGACCCTCTGAGCCATCTCATCAGACCCTCTACTTATTAACGGGTACTATGGTTTAGTTACCATTAAGGACTTTAAGTGAAATTCCTAAAGCCAGATACATGCAAGGAAGTAGTTAATGTACTTGAAATGGGAATGTAGTTAATATACTTGAAATGGGAATATACATCACCATTTCCTGCTTGATAAGGTACCAGAATGAAGCTTCTGCAAAGTGAGTTTTGTATATTGCTTCTCTCCAAGGACTTTCAGGTAACTAAAGCAATAGGGTTTTCCTGTTTGTCAGACAAGACAGGTTGCCACCTTTCCCAAGGTCTATAAGGATTCAGGGAGAAGGGAGAAACATTTTACAATTAAATAACACACAAAGGAAAAAATAATGGAAACATGCAATAGAGCAAAGCAATAAGGAATTATAAACTAGTTTTAATTCCATCAATAGGAAGAATTCAAATTATGTTGAGAGTTTACGCCTTTAAAGTTTAATCCTGATTAATATATTTTGAGTATAACTTAGTGCTCTAAAGATAAAAGTATATGTGGTGGCCAGTGAACAGAATAATCATTTCAGTAGCTGTTAGCAGTGTTGCGACAATTACTTTACACAAATAGAAACTCAGATCTTTATTAGTAATGTGGCACACATCTTAGAGTAAAAATCCACATAGGACAGGCTTATAAATATACATTTATATATAATCTCAAAATCAATCACAATTGAACATTAGATACACAACTTTTTATAAAACAAATATAACCCAACAGTGTCTATTTAAAGGCATAGTTTTAACAAAATCGTATTTTGTAGACAGTCTCAGAAAAACTGTTAGTACTTCTGGAGCCAGACTGTTCCGGCATGTCAATGCGCCAGTGGGAATAAGGCATGTGGAGTTCACTCTTCCGGGGTGGAGGGGTCATGGCATTCTAGATAAGAAAGCAGGAAAGACTCTAGTGACCTGGGTGAATGCCACACCCACTGAGCATTCAGCAACCTTAGAGATGATTACATTCCAGAAGAATCAGACCGGGTGGTTACTCGCCCAATAGCAAATATTTGGAAGAAAACTGAAAATAATACCGAATGGTTGATGTATTCTTAAATGGGACACACACCCAAGGCTAGGAGATTTACATACATTTTTCCATTGTCAGGCATATTGAGGCTCATATTTCTTTAACTACTATTTTCATTAAAAGGAAATTATACGCAAGTCATATGCTAAATTAAAAACCCAAGGTAATCAAACTTGAAAGTAGACAAATTGCTCAGTGAATAGTACAATAGAATAAGAAAACTAATGCAACTTAAAACATGTTTAGGTTGCCATGAAACATGCCAGTTACTTAACTAATGTGAGCCTTGGCTTCTTAATGATATAGAAAAGTTAAATTAAACACCAATGCATATATATTCTTAACAGTTCATAAAATGGTGAAAAGAAGAGGCAAGACTAGTAAGAGATTCAGGAATCCTTCCTACAAACTAAATTGCTAAAAATGCAAAGTAAGTATGTCTGTAATACATACGATGTTTTATCTCTAGGCTTGAAAGTATACAAGAGATCAGAAAAAGAACTAATCATATGTGTGTGTGTGTGTGTGTGTGTGTGTGTGTGTGCGTGCGTGCGTGTGTGTGTGTGTGTGCGCGGGCGCGCATGTGCGCGCATGTTTATATGTTTATGTATAACCACACCCCACTGTCACATATATACAAAGTGTATATACATATAAACAAATTGAAAATAATCAACCTGTTCACTAAATATGCAGTTCTGTTTAGAGAGCAAGGATGTCACCTCAGCACATGGCCTAGGATGCTGGCTCTCACACACTGCTTCATTATATGAGACAGACGTGTCATATGTATAAAAGACTCTCATGCCCTTGTGCTAATTTTGAAAAATCTCTACACAGAAATAAATTACTCTAAAGCATAGAAATGTCCTACGAAAGAGCAGCTCAAGAGTGAAACTTGTTACCGACTGCCAGACCTCAGGGCAAGCAGAGCTGGAACTCACCCAGATTGCTTCTCTACTGTCACCTCGTTTGTGCCAACTCCAGGAAACATACTAGAACATGGATGTGTAAGGATGCCACTAGGCTATTCATTTATAACAGCAAACCAATTATAAACTGTGTTTAAATGACGTTTTCCCTAACTCTGATATTTTTACAACTAGTTAATAGTAAGTTACTGGTGATAGGATTTAGGGTGACTAGAGAGATAGAATACTCATGCTAAAGTCACCGTGGGAAAGCCCAGCCTGCTTCCTGTTGCTCTTCAGCCTGCAAACTAAGAATAGGTTTTATTCTTTACCAAAAGCTTTTTAAAACTCAATATAACATTTTGGCATTTGCAAAGTATATGAAGTTCAAACTTCAATTGCTTTATTAATGTGAGACCATGCTTGTTCACTTACGAACTGTGACAGAGTAGAGCATCTGGGACCCCTTTACAAAGAAAATTTAAGAAATCCTGGGATGGAGAAAAGAATTGCATCCAACTTCAGTGCTAATGTCAATTAAGACAAAACCCTGAAGAAAGACAGTAAACTTGGATGGCAAAAATAGTATTAATATACTGGAATGGAAATCCGTCCCTCAGTTGTCAAACTTTCTGATTTCTTTTTTTTTAAATATTTATTTATTTATTATGCATACAATATTCTTTCTGTGTGTATGCCTGCAGGCCAGAAGAGGGCACCAGACCTCATTACAGAGGGTTGTGAGCCACCATGTGGTTGCCGGGAATTGAACTCAGGACCTTTGGAAGAGCAGGCAATGCTCTTAACCACTGAGCCATCTCTCCAGCCCAAACTTTCTGATTTCTTTAAGGACAAAAGCAACTAGCAGTAACAGAATGCAGCTTCTGGACTTTGTCTGAGTGCATGTTTAACTATAGTGGGTCAATAAAAGCACATAGAAGCCCATGTTGTAAGAGAGACCATGGTTTAAGAAAGTCATGGTTAAAAGTTAGCTAAGACAAATGCATTCTTCCAATTGTGTCCAATTGACACATTAGTATGAAAACATTAATAGTACTAAAAATGAGCTGGGGATGTAGCTGGGTGGTAGAACACCCTATGGATATGTACAAGGCCTTGGGTATGATCATCAGCACTGACCCAAAAAAAAAAAAAAGAAAAGAAGAAAGGAAGGAAGAAGGAAAGAAAAAGGAAGGAAGGAAGGAAAGAAAGAAAGAAAGAAAATACTAAAATGACTGGCAAAAATAATCCAAAGGTTTTAAGCAGAAAACCACTGTGCTGAGTTCTGCAAACACAACTGTAAGAAGGTCCCATTTTCACTGTAAAATACTAGGGGCAGATAAAGGCACCCAGCTGATTTGAGTATGAACAGCAGGTTCTACTTAATGGAAGTTTTAAAGACTTTGCATGAGGCATAGGAAGTCATATCGGCTCCCTCGTCCCTGCTGCCTCTTGCATGACAAGTGCATTGAACTAGCCTCTCTAAAGTCTGGCCAGCACTGGTAAGCTCGCCAGAAGACCGACCTCAACTCTTCCTTCTGCAAAGCTGGATTGACAACAGACGCTTCCTCTGGCGGGGAGGACTGACCACTAACAACAGCGCTACATGCATCTGTCTGCCGCTCCTGTTTCGCTTGGGCGTCTCACCAAGAAGCCCTGATAGCTTCTCCCTCAGGACAAACACTGTAGAAAGTGAAACCGTACGTCAGACCTGGAGCAGGCATGCTTGAGAGAGCAGCAGCCAGGAGTCGGGAGGGCTCAAAATGAATGACTGAGAGGCCCTGTTGAAAAAGAGAGCACGAATAGAAAGAAGAATAGGAGTTCCCTTAGATTAGATAAGAATGGATGAATTCAAAGTCTACAGGGTTTTCACTTCGGCATGTCTATCAGTGGACAGATCTCTGAGACGACGGTCAGCAGTTTGTGACACATCTCTTGTTGTAAATCATGACAGCGATTACTGTCCAAAGTGCCAACTGATGTCCACTGAAAGGCAAAGCCACACTGCCACTGGGGATTCTGTCATTCGCGTTTTGGAAGACATGGTTTGATCATGAGTAGGACATATAAAAACACTGGCTAGCCGGCAACAGTCCATAAAAGCGATTCCTCTGGCCCAAGTAAACTTGCAGTGTCGAGACAGCTTTGTAATTCAGCCCACCAGTTTTTTGAATACCTACCAAGAAGGAGCATCAGTTACAAGGATGGGAGAGACATGACTCCTAACGAAAAGCCCAGCATGCTAGAGGAGGGCTGAATCACTCCTAAAACCACGCTGTCCCCAAGACTGGAGGAAGAGATAAGAGTTAGGGCCTCACAGATGAGCGCATCATCTTGGAGGGGGCGGGGGAGGATAGGGAAGACGGGGACAGGACAGGTGAGAGAGAGCAGGTTGGAGGAACTCAAGGTCCCTCAGACTTGCTGGGACAGGCAGTGGCCCCGAAGAGGCAGAAACCCTGAAGTTTAGTAGAGTCATTGCATGTCACTCACTGTAAGGGCAAGGATAACTCTGTAAGTTCCAAGCGAAAATTGACAAAGCTGGCCACTAAAGTCGAAGGACTATGAAACAGTTACTTGATTGGAAGCGTAAAAAGGAAGGGAAACGCCACTCGCTCCCACTATTAGCTGAAGTCTCTATTAGCTCCGCGATTTATACAGCAGCTACTATACACATAAAGGATACAAAAATATCGGGCTTCTTATTTACAACACGGGTGTCTCTATATACTCCCAACCGTCGCTCCTAAACCAACTACTAACCCTGAGAGACTGATTACCAGCCACGCTTGTGCCGAGCTTGACCAGGATCAGAGAGAGGGCTTGGTGAAGAGGCAGTTGTCGTCAGGGGGAGCCACCAGCTTGAACCTTGAGTTTGAAACTGGGTGTGGGCAGTGTCGCGAAGTAGTAATACATACTTTATTTTGGCGCCAGTTCAGAAGAATCTGAACATTCTCCCCACAGGCAGACGTTCACCTCGGACATGAACTTGGGACTTAGAAACCATAGTCCAGTGTTACTCAACTATAAAGTTGGAGCCAGCCTGGAAGCAATGGGAACAAATCAGAGAATTCTGGAAAGCCACGGTGGCAATGGCCCACCGTGTAAGTGCCCACAGTTACTCTCCTCTAGGTAGGCTGCCAGCATAGGTATTTAGAGAGTATCTGGCTCTTATAAAAAAAGAAAACATAGAATTGAACATTTTTAATGTATACTCTTGGTGAATTTACTTTAGGGTCCCTCCTCCCATTTTTGCTCCTGGTGTCTACAGTCTTTAAAAATGTTGATGTGTGTTTTCCTTAGGATGACTTGTCTGTCTATATTATATTATATTAGGATGACTTGATGTCTGATGCATATTTAATTATATTTAATGGATGCCGACTTGAACACCACTGTTGGCTAGAGCCACCCAGGAACACCCTAGCTGGTTGAACGCAGTGGCAGAAGAGAGCCAATTCTAATTGCTAAGAATTCTCCTGTTTTTATCATTAAGGTAATTTTACATCTTCAGGAATATTCACAGTTCTATTTTCATCTTTCCTAACAGCAATATAAAACTGTTTTCTCATAACTACTTGCGCATTGGGAAGATACTTTCGATAAATACAAACCACTGCTTCTCACTATAATCTCTCCCGTACGCCCCATCCACTGTGTGACTATCTAAAAGCATTTAGCCTCCACGGAAATGTTCTCGAGAGGCTGCTGATGCACTTGTGACATCCTGTGAAATTCTCCACGGCAACACGCCAAGTAACCCTCTCGTGCACTACCGCTCGAAATAAAGACTGTTGGGAGACACACTTTCCAGATCTAGCTCTTTACCTCCCCGTTGTGTCAGCTGATCGCGCTAGCCAAGGCTGTGAAACCTGTAGGCCAACAAAAGGCAGCCTTTGTCTGGGTTTAAATCCCAATCGGTATGGCGACTCTCAGTTTTACCAAGTCAAAGCACAGACACCGTAAAGCTCAAATAGAAAGCATATTTGAAGTGTTTGCAAACGGTTTAAATACTTCCTGAAAGCAGGGTTGCCTTGACAATCCTGTTTGACTAGGAGAAAAGCTTGTTCTTTTCTCTCCCCCAAAAATGTTGAAATCATGACTTGTTTTTAAGTAACAGAAGCTAGACTAATACAGGCGATATTGAAAAATATATACTGAAGGCTTGCCGCTCCATCTAGTCTGTTGGCCTTGCAGCTGTGGCTAAGGGGTTCCCATCAGCAAGTAGAAGGTCAGGGCGACAATGAGAAGCAAACAAAACGGAGAGGAGAAGGTCTGGTAGGCAGCCGACGGCATGAAAATGTCTTCGTATTTGTAAATACTGACAACGCGCTCTGAAGTCGGCGGGGAGTCTATGTCGTGCCTGGTGACGGAGCCTTTAACACAGAAGCAGAGTGAGGGCCAATTAAACGCAGCACAGAGTTAAAGACAGAAACACTACAGACGGGCTTTCACTGCTGAACACATACACCGTGCTTAAGATGTGGAATCATACGTTAAAGTCATCATCAGCGTTCTCTGCAATTGCTCAGACCACAAAGAACATAGAGATCATTTATCTTTACTCCCAAAGATGGTTCTTACGAATCTGCGGACATCCCCTCCCAAATCTCTCTCTCTGTTCTGTGGCCGCCAGTTTTAATATTTATATTTGCACCAACTATAGGGATTTCTATTTGCCTCTAACAAATTTAAACTCCTCAATAGCAGATAGTGTAAAATCTTTAAATTTTTTAAAAGATTAATTTTAATTTTAATTGTGCGCACGTGCAGGGGCTAAAACAGGATGCTGGATCTCCTAGAGGTGAAGTTACAAGTGGTTATAAGTCACCTGATAATGAGTATTGGGAACTGAACTTGTGACCTCTACAAGAGCAGGGTGTGATCTTAACCACTGAGTAACCTCTCCAGCCTCAGGGGGAAAGAGAAAACTATTTTTTTTTTTAATACAAGCAGCAAATTTTGCTAACTTTGCTTCCTCAAATCTTTGGCGGAGCAGTGAACCCAGGGTTTCATGCATGCGAAGCAAATGCTCTATCACTGAGCTACCTCCACAGCCCCAAATCTTGTTGACATGAATCAGGAATGCTAGTCCAGACCAAAGACTCCCATACAAATGGAAGAGCCCTCTTTCATTGTGGACTATTACAAGCTAGCCAGCCTTTGACTAGGAAGATGGCTCAGAAGGTAAGAGTGTTTATTTTACAAGCACGAGGACATGAGGCCCTAAATTTGAGTCCTTAACACTCATGTCAAAAGCCAGGCATGGCTCTGTGTGTGCATAACCTGAAGATTGGGCAGCAAAGGTATGCATCTATAACCTGAGTTCTGGGCTATCAAAGACAGGGAGAGTGACCAGCAGCCCAGTATAGCCCCAAAGGCCGGTTGCAGTTCAGTGAGAGACTCTATATCAAGAAATAAGGTGAGTGGGGCACCTTAATCCCAGTATTCAAGAGGCAGGTGGATCATAGTGAGCTCCAGGACACCTAGGACTATGTTAAGAGACCCTATCTCAAAAAAAAAAAAAAGGCAGAGAGTATTAAAGGAAGACCCTTGATATCTTACTCTGACCTCTAATCATATATCTCTACAGTCACACTAATGTATCACAGGGATGGGGAGAAAAACAAAAAGAGAAAAGAAGGGGAGGGGAGGGCAGGGCAGGGCAGGGCAAGGGAGAGGAGATGACAGGAGAGGCAAGGAGGAGAGACTTCCCTACCCAAAAGAAATTGGCATGCTGGATGTCAGTGATTTTTCTAGAAGAGTGGGGGAGAACAGTTTGGGAAAGAGAATGACTAAGGTAACAATAGGGCCTTGGAGGGAACTTTCTCGACATGGCCACCAGAAAAACAAAGGAAGTCCTGCGTAAAATGCTTAAGGACCGATGGCAAGATCGGCAGAGAGTCAGCCTCGCATCCGAGGACCTCAGGTTTAATCCTCAGCACTAAAGAAAGACAATAATAAAAAGATATAGTAATAATCCATTTCTTCCACGCTATGTGCTATGGGGCACATCTGTAACACATCTGTTGCGACTTCCAGCAAGGCTAAGGCAAGAGAACTGCTTAAACCAAGAGTTTCCTTTTTGTTTTTTGGTTTTTTGTTTTTCAACACAGGGTTTCTTTGTGTAGCCTGGCTGTCCTCTAACTCCCAGAGATCCACCTGCTTCTGACTCCTGAGTGCTGGGATTAAAAGCGAGCACCACGATGCCCAGCAAGTTTTCTTTTTCTTAAAAAAAAAAAAAAATTAAATGCTTAATGAGGTAAAGTTGATTAGGCATGACTGACTTCCTGGAAAAACAATATTAAAGCCTGGTTAGGGAAACAGGCATGAGGAGTCAATGCAAAGACTGCCCTAGGACTAGAGCTCAGTTAGGGTTTTTTGGAGTCTTTGTTTTTGTTGTACAATACTAGAGACTGAACCCAGGTCCATAAACATGCTCGGCAAATATCTACCACTGAGCTATAGGCCCAGTTTGCCAACTTTCTTTTACTTTTTACTTTGAGATAGGATCTCAAAAAACTCGCCAGGCTGGTCTTGAACTCACTCACCCTTAGCCCAAACAAGCCTTGAACTTGTGATCTTTCCCCCTCGGCCACCAGAGTAGCTGAAATTAGAGGTTGTATCAACAGGTTGGGTTTGCACTGAGGGGGGCGGGGCTTTGCCGTCTTTCAGGAAGCTCCACCCAGCACAGACCCAGCACAGGGAGCATCAGCTGCAGTCCCTGCCTGCTACACAAAATCTCCCAGTTGGCAAGGAGACCCCCTTCTGCACGGGGTCTGTGCTCACTATACCTTACTCGCTGGCCCTTGCCTGGCCTCTTGGGCTATGCCACGTACCTCCAGTTCATAGTTTTCTTGAGGGAAATAGGATCTCTAGTCCTTCAGGCCTTAGCCCAAAGTTTATGCTAAGAGATAAGACTAGGACCATCAGATGTTAGAGGAACCCCTGGGAAGCAAGCAGTACACAGGCCAGCACATGGGGTGGGATGGCTCGGTTTGCCTGGAAACAATGAGAAGAGGAACCTGGGGGAGCTTATCAGGCAAAGCCGGATGAATATGGAACCCTCCACAACTCGGATGTTAGACTCCAAGAAGACAACCTTTTGTCTTCTTGGAGACAACTCCAAGAAGACATCCTTTTGTCTTCTTAAATAAAAAAAAAATTTTTTATTTAACTTTATTTTATGTGCATTGGTGTGAAGGTGTCAGATCCCCCGAACTGGATTTTCAGACAGAGCTGCCATGTGAGTGCTGGGAATTGAACCCAGGTCCTCTGGAAGAGCAGTCAGTGCTCTTAACTGCTGAGCCATCTCTCCAGTCCTGAAGACAACCTTCTGAACACGTGAAAGTCCCCATTATCCAAGGTTCCTCTCTCTGCTTTCAATGACCATAGTCAGCTGCAGTTCAAAAATGTAGTAGGGGATAGCAAGATATTTTGAAAAGATTGCATTTTATATGACTTTAATATGACTATGTTCTGTTATGACTGCTTTATTAGTATATTATCATTATCTGTTATTATTGTTAGCATCACTGTAAACCTCATACTGAATTCTAATTTACACATTGTGTATAGGGGTAAATGTGGAGTTTCAGGTAGACACTTAAGTCCCAGTAACCATCTCCAACAGATGAAGCGGGACTACTATACAGTATTTTTCAATCTGCGAAAGCAATTTCACATAATTATTTTCACCCACCAGCTATAACCTTAGAAAGTAGGGGTTATTCTTGCCCCCACTTAGCTACCAAGGGGGAGAAGCAGTACTAAAAACACACATTTTCAGATTCCAATCTTATCGTTTGAAATGAATTCATCTCTCCAAGCTAGATTATCATTTATTTCCCAGGATACTAAAGGGACTTGAAGGTACCATTGCAGATCCAGTGGGGTTACTCTGGGAAAACAGCAAACAGAAAGGTGCCACCAATCTGGAGGCACACGACTCTTTTCCCAGCAGGCAATGGGTGAGAAGAGAAGAGAAGGAGAAGAGGGGCTTGTGTATGCTAAATCAATGGTAAGAAATCTGGGGGAGGGGGCAGCTCAGCTAAAGCAACACAAAGCTGTCGAAGACACAGTTAAAACAGATGTTGAGGGCTGGAGAGATGGCTCGGTGGTTGAGAGCACTGGCTGTTCTTCCAGAGGGCCCGGGTTCAATTCCCAACACCCACATGGCAACTCCAGTTTTAGGGGATCTGGCACCTTCACACCAACGCACATGAAATAAATTCAAATAAATTATTTTAAAAAATAAAAAATCAAAACAGATGTTGAGCTGGGTATGGTGGTATACATCGGTAACCCTAGCCACTCAGGAGGAGGAAGTGGGAGGCTTGCTCTAGCCTGAGCAGCATAGCAGACACCTGGCTCAAAAAAAAAAAGAAAAAGAAAGAAAGAAAAAGAAAAAGAAAAAGCAAGGAGGAAAGGTAAAATTCCTAGTAGTCAGAGTGAGAGAATGAGATCTCTCCACAGAATTGCAAATCAAACATACTTCCACTCTTGGTGAGGCCACTAAGCCCGGTGACGGTGGAGAAGGCTCACAAGATCGCCTGACTTACGCAGCCTCTAGAAGGTTTCTTGTAATTGCCCTTGGGTCTGCGATAGGAAACTACGGAGAACTTTGCCACAGGAAGTGACATCATCCACAGTCCAGCATCATCAGGGCACTTGTTAGAAAGATGGAATCTTGACCCCCCCCCCCACCTCTAATGGCCGACGACTTCATTTACCAATATAACTGGGGGATCATTATGTACCTTAATATTTGAGGCTTAGTGGGCTAAAATATAGGGTATTTTGATTGATTTGTGACCATGGGAATAAAGTAAGAATGAATGCTTACTGTCAAGCTCTAGAGACCCTTGCCTCTTCAGGATTTTCTTATTAAAAGACTTATTAAAGACTTCACTGACTCTAGGATCTGAAAGACCCAGAATTGAGTTTATCGCTACCATTAATTAATCGTCTACCACGAGCAAGTTTCTCATTCTTTGTAAGCATGAAGGTGATGCTACCTAGACCTCTGCAGGTAGGGGTCAGGAGCGAATGCAAACATCTGTGCTCCATGGCAGAGGTGTGGTTGCTTCATGAAGCACACCCTCATCCTACGTGGTCTCACACGCTCTAGCTGTGCGTGTGTGCACTGTGTCAGGTCTTTAGAACCTTCTGAAGAAAAGACTCCTATTCTCTCCCCCACCCCCCATAAAGCAGACCCAGTGCTGTGACGCTCGTGCCCCTGCAGTGTGACACCACCAGCAGCGCGCATGCGCATGGCGGTGACTGGCAGTCAAGGCAGAGGCTAAACTGAGGCTTACCCTGAATGGCCGGACCCCAAGCGAACAGGTAATACCAACTCAAGTGTAGATCCACGATCGTTTCGTCTCTGGGAACGTTCACAGGGCGCTTGAACCTGCAGGTGACACGATTGTTCTCAAAAACCCCTTCTTCATCTCTGGCAGGATTTCTCTGGACCTCCTTTGCCCACTGTCCCACATTGTAGAAGTGCTGGATGCGGACTCTGCCATTGTCATCATGGACGCAGGCCATGACATCATCACCGCCCTAGCAGAGAGAAAGGTTGAGAAGAAAAAAGTTAAATGTCTGCCTTCTGCAAACGTTTCACTGAGAAGTATACATCCTATAGCCTCTGTAATTAGAAGTATCATACAAGCTATTTAGAAAAACCATTAAAAACCCTTAAACCAGGCCAGTGAGATGACTCAGCCAGTAGAGGCAAGGTGCTTGCCACCAAGCAGAATGACCTGAGTTCGATCCCTGGGATCCACCTGGTAGAAGGAGAGAACCAACTTCTGCAAGTTGTCCTCTGACTTCCACAAGCGCACCATGGCATGCATACCTCCCTCACAAACAAGTAAATATGTGAGCTTTTTAAAAATCCTTTTTTTTTTAAAGTCCCAAATCAGTAAGCAAAGCCAGCATCCCTATGGCTGACATCTGGGGCCTTCCTGCTGCGACAGCTGGGGATGCATGCCTGCAGAAGACCACACATAATAGCCTGAGGAGTCCCGCCAGGCAAATCCATCCTGAAGCTCATCCTAACCAAACAACCAAACCAAAGTTCAGTTACGGAAAACTTCCCAAAGTATTGAACTAATCCATTCAATAATTTAAAAGCACCAGAAACTATTTATTACAAAGTGAAGAAAGCCAGGGTCACGTGACCACTAAATGCAATGATGTTCCTAGGCAGGATCTTACTGACCGATGACCTTTAGAAGCAATGTTTCTGACAGGGCTATCCTATGGCTCTCCGACTCTCTGACTTTAATGAGTAAACCATTTAAGGAAAGACAAGGTCCTTGATTTGAAGAAAAACCTCTTAAGTAGTTAGGGTTAAAAGGTATCTGTGATATACCCTCGAAGTTTCCAGAAAAATATGAATCATAAGTAGTAAACAAGCAGCGGACGCAGCTCTGGGAGAGAAGAACACACAGAGAACAAAATGCCGCTTGAGAAAATGCTCTGGAACCAGGAGACGGCGGGGACTTCACAGCAGCAATTGCGACTGAGGCCGCTGAATTATTCACCAGAGAGTGGTCAGAAGCGATGCATTTCCGGTACACACTGCTATGACTAAAAAGCTAACAACTGATGCATCTGGGACGAGAAATGGAGGCAGAGATGGGGTAAGGGAGAAGACTTTGGGGAACGGTCTCTGTAACTTACTTGGAGGTTTAATTATTTTTTTCTTTAGAACAAGTTAAAAATATTAAAGTCTGGCTGACTGTACTGTCTGGTGGAGAATATGGATGATGGGGGGAGGCATCGCCTGGAGCCGAGCCTATGAGGCAGGCCATTTAGATAGGAACCCAAAGTTGCCGTTAAAAAAAAAATTAAACCTAATTTGAAAACCATTCCATAAAAATTCAAGGTTATTAAAGAGGGAATACACATTGCTCTTATTATACATCACTGAGTTTTTGTTTTTCAATTTAATTCATGCTTTGTTGGAGAGAGGAGAGAGGAAAGGAGGGGCTTCTTTATAAGAACTATCGTGACATTTGAAAGGCTCCCTAGTCTGCCTCTGTTACCTGTGCCCTAAATCAACCCACTCTTCCCTTCCTCCTCCTCTCCCTTCCTTTTTTTCAGACAGGGTCTCACTATGGTCTTGAACTCATGTTCTTTTTATTCTTCCTTTCCCTGTTTTCTCCTTTATTGGGTTGATTCTCAGGCCAGGGCTTGGGGTCGACCTGCAGGAGACTTTAGCACTAGGAAGGCTGAGGACCCCTGCTCTAAAAAAACCAAGACAGGATATGCAAAGGCCCAGGTTTAAGGAAGGTTGGCAGTTTGGGAAAAGGCCCCACCTAGTTACCTGGCTCCAGAGGAGCCAGGTATCAGAATACAGCAGAACTGACAAGAGAGACAGAGGTAAGAAGCGGACCACCGCCTGGGCTGCTGTAGCCCATTCCCCTTCTTGCCATTGTTCTTTCTGATGTCCAGGCATTTTCTGGCTAAGAGATACTATGGAAGATGAAATCTGTTGGACTTGAGCCTTCGCTCCCCAGTAACAGTAGTGGTGGTGGTAGAATAGTTGGATGTGTGCGTCACTGCAGGGCCTCCCAGGAAGGGGTGTGTGCTTTCCTCTTGCCATTTCATTCTGTGTGACACATCTGGGACAATAGGGTGTTGGTAGATGTGACCTAAGCAGAGGTCTGGACTATACCTCTGGCTACAATACTGTGATATAATAAGAAACCCTATTTGGTCTCTGCCCCAGTTCCTGAAACTCCTACAAGCCTGCTACGACGAAGACCGTCTTGTGTGTGCTCACAGCTGGTGGCTAGGGAACCCTAGACAGCTTCAGACTGGAGCTGGTCTCTAGAAGGAGGACCAAATGTCATTGGAGGATTGAGAATTTCAGCTCCACCCCACAGTGTCTAGGTTGAACTATCAGTTATGAGCAACGGTTAAACCAATATAGCTACATAACAAGGCCTTTATAAAAACCTCCAAAGAGGGTGCTGGAGAGATGGCTCAGAGGCTAAGAGAACTTGCTACTGTTGAGGGGGCCTGGGCTTGGTTTCCAATAGCTACACTGGACAGCTCTCTCTCTGTCTCTCTGTCTCTGTCTCTGTCTCTGTCTCTGTCTCTCTCTCTTTCTCTCTCTCTCTCTCTCTCTCTCTCTCTCTCTCTCTCTCTCTCTCTCTCTCACACACACACACACACACACACACACACACGCAATTTTCAAAAAATCTTTTTAAAACTCCCAAAGAAGTGCTGAGGTCTTGACACCATTGGTAAAATGCTTGCCTTGTAGTCCTGAGTTTGGATTCCCCTAACCCATGGAAAAAGGTGAGTGTGGTAGAGTGTGGTAGAGCTGTGTAATCCCAGCAGTGATGAGAAGGGTGCAGAGATAGGCGGATCCTCGAAGCTCACTGGCCAGACGGTCTACTTGCTGAAGCTCCAGGCCAGGGAGAGACCAGCCCAGATAAAAGTTGGCAGGTGTCTGAGTAAAGACACCTGAGGCTGTCTTTGACCACCCCACTCAAGTGAACAAACACACATGTCCACATCCACACGTACATGTACAACTACATACAGAGACAGAGAGAGACAGAAAAACAGATGGAGAGACAGAGAGAAACAGAGATAGAGATAGACAGACATACATGCATGCGTGTGTGTGCGCACGCGCATACACACACACACACACACACACACACACACACAGAGTTTGTATGATCTTCCTGACTGCTAATTACCGAGAGGAGCTTGGAGGATGATACACCCTCAGTAGGCATGGTAGCCCCTCCCTCACTCCCCCATGCCTTCCCTACATATCTCTTGCATTTGGCTCTTCATTTACTTTGTTTTAGCATCCATACTATGAACCGGTGCTGGAATTTGGATCTCAAACGTGTCCCAAAGGCCTCTGTGTTAAAGGTTGCTCCCAGCCTATGGCACTATTAGAGAGGAGTGGGAAATGTGAGGAATAGGCCTAATGGAAATAAGTTAGGTGGCATGCTCCTGGAAGCAGACACTGGGACTCTGGTCCCTCCCCCACTCAATGTTAGAAGGTTTCCTCACCTACAGACTTTCTATCACAACCGGGCCCAAGCAATGGGGTCAAGCAACCATAGATGGAAACCTCTGAAATCAGAGCCAGAATAAATCTTGGGGTTGTTGCTAATGAGTATCTACCTGTCTGTTTATCTGTTTGTTTTTGCTTATTTGCTCAGTTGGTGGCTGCGTTGGGTGATGGAATCCAGGGCCGTGTGCATGCTAAGCAAGCAAGTTCTCCCATGCTGAGCTACATCCTCTGCCTTGAAAGCCTTTGGAAAATGAGTTCATGTAATGTAGAGCTGGTGAACACAATGGGAAAATCAAGGAAAGTGTTCACTCAAGTTCTGGCAAATGAACAAAGCTCAAAAGGAAGTCACGGGGACTCTGATGTGTATAGTTGGTTCCTTAGGTTACAGCCTGGGACTCGAAATTACCACCGACAAGGGAGCAGCCTTGAACTAAACCCTCACTTTGTAGCATCTGACACTCTACACATAGATTGTGTTAGAACCGACTGAGGTAGAGGACGCTACCTTATGTCCATCGGAGACTTGCCTGGTGCATGCATGTGTGTGTGTGTGTGTGAGATGGGGTAGAGGAGTGAGAAATATCTGATCACAGAAGTGTTCTGTGTTGAGTGTGTGTGTGTATAAACGAAAAACACTTGACTCTCTTACAATGGTTCTTCACCGCTGCCTCTGCTACGCAGAGAGCCTTGGTGGCTGCCCCTTCCAGACTGACTGAAGCACACACAGGAAGTCAAACCCAACTCATGGACGACAGCCAAGCTCAGCTGAGCCCACAGAAAAGAAGCTGAACCCCAGCCAGTCCACACTCATGTCTGCAAGAGACAGAAAACAATCGGCACAGGATATGTGGTTTGCAGCATAGTGTGGACAGAGATGCTCACTACGTGCAGCACAAGACACCCTGTGTTCTAACAACCAATTTTTCCACTAAAGTTTGCTTGAATTAAAAAAAGAGATTTACTTATTTTTTATTCATGTATACATTCACATGTGTGTGACCGCATGAGTTTATATGGCATATATATGATGTGCATTGTGTGCAGGTGCCCATAGAGGCCGGGGGCATCAGATCCCCTGGAGTTTCAAGCAGCTGTGAACTGCTTGATGGAGGTGCTAGGAGCCGAACCCCGGTCCTCTCTCTGCAAGAGTAGTATGTGGTCTTACCTACTGAACCATCTTTCCAACCTCTGAGTTTTTAAACTTGCAATTAGAGAGCTGTGAATAGCACAATACTTCTACTTCTTTGATGAATACATTTGCTTCCAAAATCCAAAGAACAACAAAGAGAAAAGGCAGCTTCTATCATGAATCATGTCTTACCATCTTTTTGTCTGAAGAGAATCCAACTGCTACCCAGCCATCCGTGTCTGCGCTCAGCTCAAACTCCACATCAGCCCCTATCATCCGGTAGCTAAGGAAGTAGTCACAGGTCTCTGCGTTACAGCCGGGCTTGCCGTACCTGGAGCATAGGCCAAAAGAGACATTATTGCTACTGCGTAATTCAAATTAGGAAAGAGGGCACCTACTGTGCACCCCAAGGACGCCGAGCCATGCTATTGATGCCGTTAGATTGTCGCTTCCCAGGATCTCAGAAACGTGGGCTCCTCAAGAGGGACCATGGGTAGGAACTGCTCTACTTTAGATGTAAACTGAAGTCCAACGAAGGAAACGGGCTCAACCAGGCTGCAAAATGAAGTCAGTGCCTGCAACAAGACTTCAACTGGGTCTATTTTTCAAGTTAAACATTGGTCTGGTTTTTCTCACAGGTAGTGGTAGCACACGCCTTTAATCTCAGCACTTGGGAGGCAGAGGAAGGCAGATCTCTGTGAGTTCGAGGCCAGCCTGGTCTACAGAGTGAGTTCCAGGAGAGCCAGGACTGTTTCACAGAGAAACCCTGTCTCAAAAAAAAAAAAAAAAAAAGAAAGAAAGAAAGAAAGAAAGAAAAGAAAGAAAGAAAGAAAGAAAGAAAGAAAAAAAGAAAGGAAGAAAGAGCGAGCGTGGCCAAACAAGCCAGTGAACAGCATTCTTCCATGGCCTCTACTTCAGTTTCTGCCTCCAGGTTCCTGCACTGGCTTCTCTCAAAGGTGGACTGTGATATAAGCCTTTTTGGCTATGTCTTTATCATGGTGACAGAAAGTGACTATGACAGTATCTTTTAAGAAGAAAATGCCCAAACTGAACACTAGCCAAGCATGGTGGTGCATACTTTTAATACCAACATTATGGAGGAACTGTGAGGAGATTATTCAGAATTCAAGGCCAGCAAGACTCTGAATCAACAAACAATCAAAACCCCTGAACACTGGGTTTCTTATTTGAGTTCTCCATAACCTTGCTGAAGTTACAAGGGGAACAGACCGATGTGCCCACAGAGCAATGCGTGAAGGTTGAGAAGCTAGTCCATTTCTGAGCCTTGGCTATCAGCCGCAGCTGTACCCACCTGAAGCATCCTTTCGTTCTTCCACAGTCTTCCACTTTGATCTTGGCAAACGGGTCCACGGGAGGGGCGGTGGGGAAAGGATAGCCTGGGCGGTGAAAATAAACCGAGGTCATAAGAATCCAGTAACAGTCTTTACAATGAGAATTCTAAAAACTGCACTGCCGATTTTCTATCATCATTGTTAGCAAGTCTTTGATAAAGTCGGAATAGCTCCCCTACCTGAGGGAGTCCTTCGGACTTCACCTCAGGTGGGATCTGGGAATGAGTGTGTTCTTACTTCATTTTCAAGCAAGCCACCAGGGACCTTGGGTGGGGAGCTCGTTCTACATAAGCACTGGCTTCTCATTGCCCCCTAGGAGTTAGGAAATCTCAACTTGAATGCAGGGCACACGCTCTGGAAGAGAGACAGAGGCCCAGCTTTTAACTTGGCACCAGGGCGATTCCACTCGTATATAGAATGGATGTTTCTATTTCATCTCTCTGGACTGCCACTTACCCATGTGCTAAGTCCATCCCACACATAGTTTCAAGCATGGTCCCTCTGAGATTACTTACACCCTAATGCATTTAGGCACCGTTAGAAGTAAGGCCGTGGAGCCCTCTAGCTTATAGGGGAAATCCTTTTCACCTAGGCTGTTCACTCCACGTACGCAGGAGCCACATGTGTCTCATCCTGTGTTCTCTGCCCAGCAGGGTGTTTGGCACTGGACACCGAATAAATGATCGTCAGTGGTGAAATGCAAGCTTCCACAGATATGCCTAGGCAGTGTAAGCCATGTCTTTTTATTTGTAGTGCTTGTGTTCAATAAAGTTCATAACTATTTATGTAGTTAAATTAGCCTCATACTTTTCACAAACATCTCCAGAGTATGCTCTCCTGCACAGGTCTGTCCGTCTCTGCTGTCACAGAGTTTGAGCACCGGATCAAATACCGGCTCCCTTTTTATCGCCCCTAAGTAACCGGGTCAGATGCTTTGCCTCTCGTTTGATCTGATTTTGTGCTAAAACCGACATTATTTTCACCCCTGTTGATCGCATCCTGCCATGTATTTATTGATCAAACAGCTTATCAGCGCTCCAGAGTATAGTAAGCACCTTCACTCACGCCCTTACCGTTGTGTGTCACAGACGTTCCAAGGCTATTTTTCCACAGACTATTCACCCAGGAATGCAATGACGATTTCCTTATATGTCACTAAGATGCTAGCGGTGGCAATCGCTTCAATGTTACTTCTGCCTCAAGTTCTGCATCTTCTTCTTTTGATCTCTTTCTGTGTATGGGGGCGGGGAGGGGCTGGAGACAGGGTTTCTCTGCAACAGCCCTGGCTGTCCTGGAACTCGCTCTGTGGACCTCCAACTCACAGAGATCCGCCTGCCTCTGCCTCCCAAGTGCTGGGATTAAGGGAGTGCACCACTTTGTTGTTTTTGGTTTTGGTTTTGTTTTCTTTAAGGAAACTGGGTTTCTAGACAGCAAATAAAAGCACGTTTTAGAACCGAGCTTATGAAAATGTTCTGAACTAGCTCATTAGGTTGGCAAACGCCTTCACTAACATTGATCTCCTATCATTTCGTATGTCCTAAAATAAAACCAAATAAGAACTTGTGTTCTGTGAGCTGTGCTTGCTTACACATTTATTTAAACACACCCCTCCCCAGCTTTGTGGATTAAATTAATGGTTTTGGTGAACATTTTACCACTGGGTTATGTGGGTTTTATGGTTGAAGGTCACCACAACACGAGGAGCTGTATTGAGGGGTCCCGGGATTAGGAAGGGTGAGAACCATTGCTCTAGGATCTTGAACTTCTAGTAGAAGGTGAGTCTGAACTCACCAGGAGTCCCTTAGAGAGCACCTGAGTTTGTGCTAAGAGATAATTTGCTGTAATACACTGCCTTAAATGCTCTCCCGGATTGAGACTGTAAATTGTCTCCTGCTGTGACTTGAATTTGAAATGTCCCCACTGGCTCTTGTTGCTGCTGTTGTTAAACCCTTGGTCCCTGCTGGTGGCCCTGTTTTTGGAGGCTGTGGAAGCTTTGAGGAAGTGAGGCCTCCATGGCAGGAGGAGGTCACCAGGAACAGGTCTCTGAAGAAGCCTCCCTCCTCTACTGCTGGGTTCACCCTGATAGGAGCCAACTCTGCCACCAGGTCGCCCCACCAGGTCTATGCCCCCACGATAGATCGAAACCATAAAGCTAATTAATCTTCCCACTCTTGAGCTGCTTCTGGTCACCGTGGTCACAGAAAAGCAAATGACACACCTCCACAGGCTTGCCTTCTCCAACTGTGAAAACATAAACGTCTTTACCCATGTTCTATCTAGGACATTTTTATTGTGTAGCCCAGGAGAGGCGAGGCCAGACGGTCTCTCTAACTGTGCAGAGTTTGAGCAGATTACTATTCTGAACACCGAGGGCTTGCAGTCCCCTGGGCTCCACATGATTGACTGCCCCAGTTTCTCCACATCCCAACTCGACATGATATCATTATTATTTTAATTTGGATTTCCCTAAGCACTGATAGACACAAATGCCTCTTTATATCTGTATAAAGCCCTTGGGCTCCTGCTTCTGTGATGTCTATTTCTGTAACCTCTGTTTCTTTTATTATTTGGAATTCAAATTTGTTCACAGAAGGATATATATATATATATACATATATGTATATATATATATATATATATATCATAAAATTGTTGGTTCCAGATGTTGCCATTTTTTCTACCACCTTCTCACCAATTTTTTTTCTATTTACTTGTTTGTTTTTTTCTATGATGCTCTTTTTTTAAGACCCAAATATTTAACTTCAATGAAGTTATCTCTCTCTCTCTCTCTCATTTTGTTTTTGTTTTTTGAGATGGGGTTTCTCTGTGTAACCCTTGCTGTCCTAGAACAAGTAGAATCAGGCTGGCCTTGAACTTACAGCGATTTGCCTGCCTTCGCCTCCCAAGTACTGAGATTAAAGGTGTGCGCCACCACCCAGTGTTTTTCGGGCTCCCACGGGATCATTTTCTACCCCACCAGCCTGAGCCATTTCTCTCTTTTTACCTATTAATGCTATAGTACTGTGTCAATAGCACAGTGAGAGCTTTGACCCACTGGGAATTTGCTCATTATCTTATGTGAGGTAAGAAATCAATTGTATTTTTCTGCACATATTGATTTGTTTGGGTTTCTTTTTGCTTTATTTTGTAAGGCAGAGTCTCACTATGTGTACCCAGCTGACCTGAAACTCTCTATATAGATCCATCTGGCTTGGAACTCAGAGAGATCTACCTGTTTCTATCTCCAGAGAGCTGAGGTCAAGGGTGTGCACCATCACGCCCAGCTCTACTTAAATTGAATCAATTTTTTTTCTCAACATAACTTGTGAAACAACTCATGCTTTCTCTAGTAATTTATGATAACTCTTTCTCAAATCATCAGTTTCATGAAACTGGTCTATTCTAGATTTTCTGTTGCTTTATTTGTTAAAAATAACTGTGTTATATGAATTATTTCACTTTGTAGTATATCTTAATTATCTAGCAAAAAAAACGATCTCATCAACTTATGGGACTTGATTCTTCCTTACAAAGCACAGAAGTCATGTGTGAAGCTCCCTTCCAGAATGGTACTAGACTTCTGTCTGGAATTGTCTGACATCTGAGATAAATTGGGTGTGGACGGAGAACTGGTCTATTCATAATACCAGGTTATTCTTCTCAAGATCATGGCTTATCTGTTTATTCACATTCTTTATATCTCTTAATAGTTCATTTTTTTTCCTCTCTGTAGATAAGATCAGACATCATAGAGGTCTGTCGCTACTTTGAGCTGTTACCTTGTTTTCCTTCACATTCTCTGGCTCACTGTCGCTGGTGAGGAAGGACTTTGGTTTCCTGAGCTATTCTAATCTTCCAAAAGCTTTCCTAAGAAGTTCAGCTAAGTGAGGTAGAAAAAAAAATGATAAAGGCCAGGTAACGGGTCATTCTCTGCACAGGAAATGTCCACAGTAGACAAATATTGAGACAGAAGGCTTCATGGTTGCCAAGAGCTGAGAAGGAAACCATGAAACATTTGCGTGCTGTTGGCTTCAGGGAAGCATGGCTTCTTTTCAGGGTGATCAGAGAGTCCTAAATATGACTGTGGTAATAGCTGCTGGATAAGCCCTGTGGACATTATTTAGAACCACGTCGTAGCACGCTTTAAATAGGTGCATGAGCACACACAGGCCACCATGTGCCTGTGGAGGTCAGCGGACAACTTCTGGGAGTCAGTTCTGAGCATTGAACTTGGGTTGTCCAGCTCAGTGGCAGGCGTCTTTACCTGGTGTGGCATCTCACCAGCCCTAATGCCATTATTTTGACGTACAATGACAATGTTTTGATGGTTCAATTGAAAGCTATCATAATTCCCTTTATGGTTTCCTCTTTAGGTCTTTTGTCAGTAATTTTTAAATTGGCATTATCACCCATGATCCTTTTTTTAAAAAAATTATTTATTTATTTGTATTTTATGTACATTGGTGTTTTTGTCTGCATGTATGTTTGCGTGAGATGTTGGATCCCCTGGAACAGGAATTACAGACAGTTGTAAGCTGCCATGTGGGTGCTGGGAATTGAACTTGGGTCCTCTGGAAGAACAGTCAGTGCTCTTAACCACTGAGCCATCTCTCCAGCCTTTTTTTTTCAATAGGGCTGGGGATGAGATGGAGAGCTTTGCCTGGCAGGTGAGCACTCCACCATTGATTGGTATTCCCAGAAGTCCCTCTCGTGCTTTTGCTAGCTTCAAATTTCATCTTACCATAATCAGAAGACATCTATGCATATGATGTAGATTCTTTGTTTTTATTTATTTTTATTTTTTTGCTTTTTAATGTTCATTGTGGCCTTTATTCTTGTTTTTCAATTGTTTTTATTGAGCTATATATTTTTATCTATTCCCTTCCTTCCTCCTTCCTCCCTTCCTATCCTCTCCTGTGATCCCCACGTTCCCAATTTACTCAGGAGATCTTGTCATTTCTACTTCCATGTATATTAGATCCATATGTCTCTCTTAGGGTCCTCATTGTTGTCTAGATTCTCTGGGATTGTGATTTGTAGGCTGG